TAATAAGAGAATGGAAGAGCAGCTGTCAATCACAGGCCCATCACAGGGAAGCAGGGATCAGGAAGCCATCCCCAGCTCTCAGGGTAACTTGCAGGGTTTAGGGACTCTGTGGAGAGTTGTGAAGTTGATGGACTTTATGTGAGCATATTGTTTATGTCTTAGCAAGGAAGAGTTCACCATTTTGATTTTAGCTCTTGGCTGTGATCTTTTTCGTGGCATATGATATGGTGTCCACTGAGCTCAATCATTTTTTTTTTAACATGCTCATCACCCTAGAAATTTTATTGGTAGCTTAGAAAACAAAAACACATCACATTGATAATCTAAAAGCCCATAATCGGTAAACGTTAACACTGAACTGAGAACAAAGCAGTTTTTGGTGCTGGCTGGTAAGCTTTTTCTAGGCTCCATTAAAGAAATTAGGCATAGTTCATTTAGTTGCATCTCACACTTTTGGGATTAATTCTTATTAATTTTTATCCAAAAGCCCTGCTCTAGAAAAAAATAATGCCAATTTCCTGTTCCTTGTCCTCCTTTCCCTCTAGGTTGGTGGATAATTTCTACAGTTGCGAAGGGTACAGTGTACCTCGCTGTCTCATGTATGAGATTTACGTGGAAACCTGTGGACAAAATGCTCAGACTCAAGTCAATCCAGCAACGTTTGGGAAGGTAGGTTGTAAAGATAAAAAATATGATATTTATTGAGGACAAAATGCAAACAAATGAATTTATGACGAAATCTTGAAACTGATGAGGGGGTTTCAAAAAGCTCATGGAAAAATTCTGTGGTCATTTAATTCAATTTTTTCTATGAATCTTTTTGAGGCTCCCTCCTATTTGAGCCAATATGTTCTTAGTAAGCATAATTGGTTTCATTCTGGAAAGCCAACAAGATGATAATCATACTTCTTTATCTCTTTAAAAAGCTTTCATTATTTTGTTCATACTTTGTAGTGAGGAGTAAGGTGGTACCTATATGGCAGCTCCAAACACTCTTCAGAAACCAGATTTTCTGGAATATTATTCTCGCCTTAGAAATGCCAATTTAGCCAGGGAACAAGCCCCTGAGTAAATTTGTGGGATGCTTCCAAAACTGTGGTTGGACTTAGAGAACTCATTGGTTCTGAAAGATTTCCTGTGGAGTAAAGAACTCTATCCACGAACTTTGCTGAAGACCATACAACATACAACAAATGTTGGCACAAGGATCATCTCACTGAGATTTCCACATTCAACTAATATTTGTTATGTACCTGCTAGTACCAGGCATCTTTTGAGGTGCTGGTGGACACGAGAATGACCAAGACCAATAAAATTTCTGCCCTTATACATGTTACAGGAATCCTGGTGTGGCACTTTGGGTTAATGCACTGGACAACAAGGTCATCTTTAACCTAAGGTCAGAGGTTCAAGCTCACCAGCTGCTCCTCAGGCGCCACTCAGACCAACTCGAAGGCATTTAGCAACAGCATAGGACTTAAAGAGCCCTATTGTTGTTGTTAAGTGTCACTGAGTCCGTTTCTATCCATAGCAATACTGCATAGGGTTTCTGAGGAGCAGCTGGGGAACTTGAACCACCAACCTGGCAATTCAAGCTGACTTTGCAGTCTAGCACATTAACCCACATCACAGCAGGAGTCCAAAAATCCCTGGTAGTGTAGTGGGTTACGAGTTGGACTGTTAACTGCAAGGTCGGCAGTTTGAATCTACCAGCCAGTCTGTGGGGAAAAAGATGAGGCTTTCTGCTCCCATAATGATTTACAGCTTTGGGAACCCTGTACAGGGTCACTATGAGTTGGAACCAATTCCACAGCACACAACCACCACCACTGTAAGACTTACATTTCAGTTGGAGGGAGACATAAACAAGATATAGTATATTAGATACACTGTACTGTAGTATAAAGGCTAAGGAGAGAAACAGAGCAGAAGAGGAAATAAAGGTGTGTGTATGTGTGAGAGAGAGAGGCAGGGTGAGAAGAGTTGTAATACTAGTGAAGACAGCCAGGAAAGGTCTCACTGAGAAGTAACATTTGTAAGGCAGTGTGCATATGGATATCTAAGGAAAGAGTGGTCCAGGCAGAGTCTGAGCAGCACGAAGTCTATTGCATCTCAAGAGAGGCAACCAGAGGAAAGGATCGAGAAGCCAGGTCAGAGGAAGTGAGAAGAGCCTGGGTGAATGGGGAGAGATGGTGGCTTGGCCAAGGCTGCAGTAAGGCAGCATGGGAGAATGGGCTGTGATTCAGGCCTCTGTTTAGAACACAGAATCAGTAAGATTTGTTACTAGATAGGATGAATAAGTCAAAGGACTTGTTAAATTAAAAATAATAATACCTTCGTTGTTGTTGTTGTTAAGTGCCGTCGAGTCAGTTCCGGCCCAGAGTGACCCTGAACAGGGTTTCTGAGGCTGTAAATCTTTATGGGAGCAGAAAGCCTCATCTTTCTCTTGCGGAGCAGCTGGTAGTTTCGAACTGCTGACCTTGCGGTTTGCAGCCCGATTCATAACCACTACGCTAATACCTTTGGCCAGTATTTATTTCCAAGGCATTTTCCCAATCTAGATTGCAGGGACAAATTAAAAGGATCATTTGATTTTTTTCATTTTAAAAATGTGAGTCTATTAATGAACTTTAAGGAGCTCTGGTAGCATAGTGGTTACAAATCAGGCTGGGAACCTCAAGATCAGCAGTTCGAAACTACCAGCTGTTCCACGGGAGAAAGATGAGGCTTTCTGTTCCTGTAAAGATTTACAGCATCGGAAACCCTGTATAGGGTCGCTATGAGCAGAACCGACTCCACAGCACATAACAACAACAACAACATTAATGAACTTTAAGACAAGAGACATTCTTACTTTATCTTTTCTGGGGGAAATTACTCCCAATTATAAATAATCACCACAAAGGTTTTATTACATAAACAGTGATAATAATGGTGATTCATTTATGCCATACTACAGATACAAACTCATATTTTGAGTTGACAAATAACACATAGAAAATATTGCCTTCTAAAATTTCCTTTAAAGCAGGTCTAACTGTGTAACATATGTTATTTAACCTGAAAGATCCAAACTATTATTTTTCAGCACGGAATCGATATAAAAAAATCAAGATATTTTTTCCATGCTGAATCTTCCTAATTTGGTGTGTGTTTTATAATTACAGCACACCTCAGTTAGATTGAGCCATATCCCAAGAGCTTGGTAGCTACATGTGGCTGGTGGTTCCCATTTCAGACAGCACAGGACTGGATCCCTCATTCTCCTCATTCTCCTCCTAATGTGTCTTTAAAACACTGGCTCTCCTGGTATGGTGCTGTAGGATCAGCACCAGGCTGCCAACCACAAGATGGGCAGTGCAAACACACCAGCTGCTCCTTGGAAACCTTACACAGGGTTGCTGTGAGTCGGAACTGACTCAACGGCACTTAACAACAACTATGCTGTTTTTCATCTATTGGCTTGTCCCATTCTGTCCCTAGAAGTTAGCTTCTAGCATCCTCCACAGCTTTCCAATTTTCAATTAAAGCAACTCGCAAGGTGCCTGTCTTGGGGCTTTCTCTGTCCCCCATTGTCCCTGAGTCTCTGCTCCAGTATATGACAGGTCTGTAAGGTGACCCTTCCCAGCAGTGGTCAGGAGAAGCACTCTGGAAGGACATGTAAGTAGGAAGGAAATGGTTAGCATCTTTAGTGCTTTGTCTTGTTTCACAGCCACCTAGCATTAGTTTGTTTTCTTATCAAGAACACAAACCCAGTGATTAGGGGCTGAGGGTCTCACAGTTAGTTACAGTGCTGGAGCAGGACGTCCTAGCCCCTAAAGTGTGATTCAGAGTTCTTTCCACTCACCTTGTCATTTCCACAAAGGAGTCCTTGAGTTCAGAGAGCTTTGAGGCCACTTGGGCCAACTCCACTCTAGGCAAGATCCCTTCTAAAGCACCTGGCAGGAAGCTTCTTATTGGGACAAAGTGCCCTCGCCAGGTGAAGACAGCTCTGGGGCAAAGAGCTGGGTAGAAAAAGTAGTTTTCTGCAACTTCTTCCTGCATCAGGATCTGTGGCTTGGCAAGCGGTGTTCAGGCTGGCTTCCCAGCTCTTCACTGCTCTCCTCCTCAGGGACTTGATGCAGGTCCCAACCTGCACAGCCTACTACTTGGGGGAGCCATCTGGCTTTGGATGCAACTATTTGAGTGACAAGGACTTTGCTCACTGGGCCATGATGCTGCCATTTCAATGTTCTTCCCCATCCCTCCTTCCTTCATTCCCTCCTTTCCTTCTTCCTCTTTCTCAGTTGTCCTCGGGCGGTAGAGTTTGATTGGTTCTTGACACATTCTCATTATTGAGTTATGCGTGGCTCGGTCCCATCTGGTTGTTTAGTTCTTTTTGCTTTGATAAGCATCTGTGAGTCCGCCACCCACAACAAACCACAGGGCTGGCTCTCCCACATCCCATCTCCCACCCTCTCCACTGTTCATCATTAGGTTGCTTTTTAAAGAAGAGTTTGATTGCATCAGTATGTATTACCAAAGAAGCATATTTTTATTTTATGTGTCCTTGTGGGTTAATGGACTGTATTGCAAAATTGGCTTGAACTGCGAAGTCAGCAGTTCGACCTCACCAGCTGCTCCTCAGAAACCCTATACAGGGTGGATCACTATGGGTTGGAACCGACTCAACGGGACACAACAACAACTTTATTTTAGAAGGATCTATGTTGTTTGTAATCCTGTGAACTTTTTTTCATGTAATTTTCTTTTTAATATTCATCTAATTTCAGTTGACTGTTTATTATCCACTTATCCCACTGATGAGCATTTGGGTTGTTTCCAGATTTTGCTATTGTGAACATTCTTGAACATGTCTACTATTTTACATGTGAAGATTCTCAGTTGGGTGTGTATATCCAAGAGTCAAATTTCAGGGTCAAACTATTGTAAAAAGTCAAGAAAAGGTTTTCACACTGAAAGAAACATTTTCTGATGGTTATAAGGAGTGGGAGGGAAGAGTGAGTGATCTACTGACTAGACTAGGGTAGACACGCATTAACTTGTGTGACAGGAAAGGCAATATACAACATGAAAGAGGCTGACAAAAGAATGATGAAGGCAAGGGAAAACACGGAGGAATGCCAGCATTAAAAGGAACAGAGGCATATACTGTTACATACACAATACTGCAATAATAGTGATCTGTCTGGTAGCGTAGTGGTTACAAATCGGGCTGCAAACCACAAAGTCAGCAGTTTGAAACTACCAGCTGTTCAGTGGCAGAAAGATGAGGCTTTCTGCTCCCGTAAAGATTTACAGCCTCGGAAACCCTGCGCAGGGTCCTTATGAGTCGGAACTGAATCCACGACACATAACCACCATAGGTAGATAAAAGCGCTCTGGTAGCGTAGTGGTTACGAATCGGGCTGCTAACCTCAAGGTTGGCAGTTCGAAACTACAGGCCATTCTGTGGGAGAAAAATGAGGCTTTCTGCTCCTGTAAAGATTTACAGCCTTGGAAACCCTGTGTAGAGTCACTATGAGTCAGAACCGACTCCACCCTACTTAACAACAACAACATAGGTAGATACATTGATAGATACACAGGCTTCACAGGTATGGGAGAGAGAGTGGGAGTATACCCCAAATATATAAAGGTTTGACAGAGGATATTTGAACATGGATATT